CCCCCCCCCCCCCCCCCCCCCCCCCCCCCACTTTGGTTTCTCAGGGTGAGACCCCCCCCCCCCCAATCCCAGCCACACAAAATACGACGGGGAGTTATCCCCTGCTCCCTGGGCGGGGGGTGGGGGGGGTAAGGGGGAGTTGCAGCCCCTGATCTTTGGGGACCGCGGACCTTTCAGATACTCCCATCCCTTCCCAGGAGCCTCCCAGTTCCGGTCCCGCTAAGCCAGTTTTCTCCCAATCAAGCTGCGTACTCCTTGAGCACGCATCTCAGCAAATGCCTTTATTATTTTTAAGGAAAAATGGAAGGAAAAAACGACAAGGGCAGTTTTATTTTCCTGCTGTAACCTCAGCGCCTGGAACGGTGCCTGGCAATGTAAATATTTGCGCGACGACCCTTTCCCCAGTCTGTGCCTGACAAACTGCGGAATTGGAAAGTGGAGGGCACTGCCACCTGGTGGTGACTAGTGGAACTGACGCCGAGATCCTTTTGTAAACTTAGCGAGCAAGTTCACCTTTGTGAGCCTCAGTGTTCTCATCTGTAAAATGGAGGTCATTTTAATAGTACGAATACATGCCTATTGGGGTTGTAGTGGAGATCAAACACATGATACACGTAATGTGCTTCACGCAGGGCCTGGAATGTGGAAAGCTCTTAGTATATGAGTCAATTAGCATTACGGTTAAAGTCCCTTTCCCAGCTTATTTTACATGGATCCTGCTGTGATGGTCATTTTAGCTCTGGGTGATGATACTTCGGGAAGCAAAGAGTGAAAATGAAGGAGGATACTGAGTGGCAGGCGCATTCTCCCTCCTCCCCCTCCCAAGTGCAAAGACCCAAGGGTAATAATGATAATAGCTAACTAACACATCGTGCTTACTGTGTGCCAGGAGCTGTTCTTAAGTGCTTTAAATCCTTTAACTCATTTCTTTTCTCTCTCTCTTTTTTTGTCATTATACAATGTAAGCGTTTTTTCGTGGCCCTTTACCAATTTTTCTCTAACCCCCACCCCCATTCCCACCTCTCGTGTCCTCAGTTCTGTTCTCTCCTTTTTAAAAAAATTTTTTTAATTTTTATTTAATCAAAACTGATCATACATATTTTGGGGGTTCAACATTGAGATATGTTGATCAAATCAATATTACTAGCATATATATTATTACAAATCGTAATTTTTCTTTATGCCCCTTGTCTAATCTCTCCCCATCCCTGTCTCCCTCCCCCTCTCCCCTCTAATTACCCTAAATTTCTTCTCTCCCTCTGAAAGAATAATGGTTACTCTGTTGATCTGTTGCCTAGATGATCTGTCCAATGCTGAGAGGTGTGATCAGGTCCCCCAATATTATCAAAGAGCAGATACTTCTTCTGTCACTCTGAAATGGGCTCTAGTGTCTTCAGTTCCATTCTCTCCTTTTGAGAGGTCAAGGAATTATTGTAATTCTCTCTCTCTCTCTCTCTCTCTCCTTTTCCAGCTTCCACAAATCCTTTAACTCATTCAATCCTCCCAGCAATCCTTTAGGACAGATACTATTGTTCTCCCCATTTTACAGATGGAGACACTGAAGCCCACAGGAGTTAAGGACTGGCCTAGGGTCATACTGTTGGCAGAGCCAGTATCTGACCCAGGCCATCTGGCTCCACAGTCCACATTCTCAATCAGTGGCTAAACTGGCATCGTTTGCTGCAAGGCCAGCCATTTTCACAGAGGAACTTCTTGTCCCTTGGGCCCTGTGCTCCCCTGTAAGGCCAGCATGGGGCACTCTCCCAATGCCTCCAAAGTTAGTGAAGAAACATTCAAGTAATGGGACAACTGTTATGACCTAAATAATAGCAATGTCTTTTATCACACAATAGTCTGTTGGGATGTGGGTGATCTCACAGTTGGTTCTTTGCTCAAAAATGTCAGTTCCCAGACTCTTTCCAGCCTTCTGCTCTGCCAATCTCAGCTTCATACCTCATGATCACAGAATGGCTGCCACAGCACCGACCATCAAGTCTTCACTTGACAGTCTCCAATGTGGGAAGGAGGGTGTTCAGAGAAGAAAGCTCTTCTCATGAGCCTCCCTGTTAATCAGAAAATCATTTCTAGAACTGCCCCATGCCCCACCCCTACCCACCCCAGGTGTGGGATTCCCTTCATATTTCCTTGGTCAGAACTGTGTTACCTAACCTCCCCTAGTGCAAAGGAGGCTGGGAAGTGAGCACTTGGCAGAAAGAGACCCAGTGAAAAAGGAAGGTGAGGGAAAGGTATTCGAGGCAGGAACTGTCAGGGTCTGTCCCAGGTGTCCCTCCTCAGAGTGGGCAGGAGCGAGGGCTTGATTCAGTGGCACATGTGCCCAGAGTCCCACCCAGCCACCCTTGAAGGTGGCTTCTGAGCTTCTGACTCTGTCCACTACATGTCAGAAGGAGCAAGCCCAGTCCCAGGGCTGGACAGGAAATGTGTGGTCGTCTCCACTTCTCTCCTCCCCTGTTTCTCCTGAATAACTTTATCTCCACAGAAGTGGCTCTCTTGTCTCAATAAGTTTCTGCTTTACCATTTCACAACTAGAAGGTGACTTGCTGTGTCCCCAAAAGAAAGGAACTGTCTGCCCCTAGAGGCGAACTCAAGTCTCCACCTCTATATAAAACAAAAAACTGTTTGGATTGTTGCAATTCTGATAATTTATTTACAGGCTTC